TCTGAAAAGATAGCCCTTTAGCACAGTTAAAAAATGCCAAGTTATCTCAACCCTTCGTAATGTGATGAACACAGTAGGTTCCCTTTACTTAAGTGGGTGGCTTAGTAGAATTTAATGCATGTGATGGAAGCAGCATGACTAAAGCTGATGGGAGCTGTGATACAGTAAAAACAGTGAAACAGGCTGCAGTGGAGTTTGAATTTAGATACAAGGCTTGTTGACATGATGTCTGACTTGAACATGTCCCGTAACCTTTTCCCAATATCAGAGCCATAACTGCAGTAGGGTTGCAATTTCCCATCTCCCCAGTCCACGTTGTGAATAATAAAAAAGTGATGGGAATTGACATCCAGTAACATCTGGGGACCAAAACTGGGTAAAAACTAAAGAGCACCAACCACTATGTAATATATATATATATATATATATATATATATATATATATATATATATAGAGAGAGAGAGAGAGAGAGAGAGAGAGAGAGAGAGAGAGAGAGATGGCCCTCTGTGACCATGGATTCAACAACCCTTCAAATGCAACCATAAAGCAGATGTGGTCCTCAATGAACATGTTCTACAGATTTTCAAAGAGTCCCAGGGCAGAAAACTAGCTCTCAATTTTCCCTACCCATAGCTAAGAGATATGTTTTTACAAAGCAGAACTTATTCACTGACTACATGCCATTACGTTGGCTGAATAGCCAACAAGAGACAATGCAATTCCATTTTAAATTCTCAATTAACATTGTTTTTGAATCAAGCACTATGAAATATTTACTAATTTTCATTTTTATTTTCTCATTCCACAAGAATCATGTTTTTAAAAGATTATTGTAGAATCTGTTTGAATTTGCACCCCACTGTTGCTTTTAAAAGGAAATTTGTGTGGTTTCTAATTTAAGGCAGAAAAGATGGAGATATTGGCCATTTTTGTTTTTAAAAACAAAGAGAAATGCTATGCTTGTGTGATTGTTCCTCCAGCATTTCTCTGTCATGTTCCGCCTTCTATACTCTGCACAATTATAGCACTATGATTCCCCTATAATTGTCATAGTAACATTACGTGGAATGCTAGAATTTGTAAGTTTAGAAAGGGACATTTAGAATCCTCAGCCAGAAAACTATTGTGTCTCTCCAGTGTAAACAAAAAAACACAACATTCCATAGCATTCAGTTAAAGTGAAATGGTTACTGTGTAATTGTGTAGTGTGACCAAGCCCCTGGTCTCTATAAACTGGAGCCTCTGGCTACATCCAGAACAGAAAACCTTGCATTAATGTTGATTTACCTGTCCAAGATCTTAGCAAACATATTGATCCTTGTTAAAGAGACTATTTTTAAACTCAACCCAAAAATCTTTATTACGGTCATGGTTTTAGTGGCATGTGGATTGTATGTTAATTGAATGTTTGAATGAATTTATTGATTAGTTTTCCAGTTTTAATTGTATGTATATGTTGACAGCATCACTGATGCTCATGTCAAGCCGCACTGAGTCCCCTTGTGGGAGAAGGGCATGGTAGAAATGAAGGGAATAAATAAATCTATATATATAATAAAGGTGAAAGTTTGTATGCGGAGGACAAAAGTGTGGCGGTGTATGTGCTAGCTTTCTGATTGGCTGCCACTGTGGTCTCTGATTGGCCAGCCTGAAAGTTCCAAGATTCCGATTGGCTGGGCAGCGGTGCTATTTGCATATGGTCTCTGATTGGCCAGCTTCAAGAGGAGCCCCTGGTGGAGAAAAGAGTTCATGACAGAAACGGGGACATGAGAAGGAAATTTGCATATGGTCTCTGATTGGCCAGCCTCAATTCCAAGATTCCGAGATGACAAAGAGAGGAAAGGAAAAGGCTAGGGGCTGAGTCAGAAAATTACCAATTCAGACCACACTTGGCACACAGAGCCTGCAAGACCGACTTGACATCCTACTGAAACCATGGATGATGGGACTTGCAGTACCATCACTCACATTCTGAGA